AACTTACCTAGTACCTTGAAGAACAGAGCATCACGTGTAGCCCATTTTAGCAAAAATTATTTCAAAATTTAAGTTGTGTAATTCCAGCACTGTAACAAAGTTACACCTGCTTATTCAGCGCCTCTAAACATTTTCTTACGCATACCAGTATTTAGGCCAGAACTGTCAAATCATCGTATGGAAGAGCGCGATCCCAGGCTGACAGAACTATGCCAGCAGAAACTCAGCCAGCTAAGATACCAAATGCTCTACTGCAATCACCATTTTGTTCATAGTTGGAGACTTTGTCATAGTAATACAAAGCACAGTTTCGGAAGTACAGCTGCATTTGTATATTTTACTCGGAACAGTTACTGTAATATTCCAGCAAAAGAGTTCTAGTACAGATACAGGTATAGTTTGAATACAAAACTCAGCCCCCGCCCAGTTTTCTACTTCCAAGTCAGTATTAGGTATCACAAGGTAACAACCATGACGTTTTAGAAACACTACTTTCCACCTTCTCTCACGTCTTCCTCCAAAGCGCCAGAGTACAGATCAGTCATGTCTTTGCATTTAAAATCAAGTCACTGAAGTGTTTGTACACAGAAGAGTTTAGGGGGACTGTCACCAGATCAACACTAGCATGTTTAATATGCAGAACAAAATACGGTTGACTTTTTTGAACAGGACGCCTTTTCAACTATTCCCAAAAGCAGCCCCAGGAATACTCAGAATGAGGCGGTTACTACTCGGTACTGTACAGTTTGTTTACCGGGTACAAAGTGCCAGCCTGACATCCCACCTGTCTCACCACAGTAGTACTGCGCACCTGATAGAAAGGAGAATGTTAGTCAGATTACACCACCTACATCCCAAATTCACAGGGCTCAGCATCACCAATATACCTTCTTCTCAAGACTGACTGTTAGCAACCTACATTTACGTGTGCCATCGAGTTACATAAACAGAAAAGAAAATATCCAAGTTTTTGAGAGAAAGGTTTGGATATTCGTGTTCAAACTTAGCAACTTTGATTTGCAGCCTAAATGAAGTTTGTCTCGTCTACGTATGGGTCCTGAAACTAACTAGAAGCTTCCACATCTCTTGCCACATTCTACTGACAGCTGTAAAATCCGAGTAGGAAATTCACCCAAGGCTTAAATACACGTGAATCCATCCCTGAGGCAGCTTCAGATATACGAACCTGAAGACATTAAATTAAATACCACCTGTGAGTACATGTGATAAATGCCCAACATCACCTATTAAACATTGCACGTAACACAGAATAGGTTCAGCTACGTAAGATTTTTCAAATTATGTACAATCCATCACTTCAGAAAGGAGTCACTGCACTTAATATTTCTTCTGTGAATACACAGACATGCCATCGATTTAAAGTTTTTAATGAGATACCTGCAATTCATAACACTGTGACATTTATGAGCCTCACCACCTTTGCAAGACTTTGGTTTCCAACAGAAACGGCTCTACTGTTATTAGAATCGATACGAGCACAGAGGTTGAAGAGAACATACTGCTGCAGTACAAGAAGTCAGACACCTTCTCCCTGCAGGCTTGTTTTGAATTGTTTATTAAGGTTTAAGAAGTCATCCACATTTCTATAAATATAGACATTACTTGAGTAAGTGACTTACAATGTCACCAGTGCAGGTACATATATAACCAACATACAAAAGCTCCACTGGAAGCTACTTCAGTTTATTCAAAAAGGACCAAGATGTCATAAAAAAAAAACCAGCTGTCGCTTTCAGTTATTGAAGACACTAAAGTGCATTTTTGGTTACCTCCTGGACGAACAGCTGCTGGTTAAAAAGTTTTTTTGTTTTTTGTTTGTTTTTTTTTTTTAAACATATCTAAGTTACATTGACTGACATTCAGGTTTGTAGCTGTCATCCTCCTGATACATGGCAGCAGGTAAGAAAAATGTATTATTTTGCTGGTTAAGTAAAAGGAGGAAATAGATTTTGCTTTTTTTTTGTTATTTTTTTTTAATCTGGTATTTCCAACAAAAATGTAAAGAGAATCTAACGTTCTGATGAATTTTTACAGCACCACTAAAGTTAGTCTTAAAAATCCAGGCTCTGTTTCAGCCCTTTTAATTGCTAGCCAAGTATCTAAAGAGTCATTTGAAGCTCTGTACCAGTAAGAAAAACTACGCTCCCTTTTCCGTCAAGCACTATCCTGCCCAGTTAACACTGTTTGCACACTCTGTAAACAAGAACAGCTTAAAGCATAATTAAAGCAGAACACAGGCCCATCTTGAAAATCTTCTTCCCCCACTTCCCCCCCCTCCCCCACCCGCGGTAGTGTCAAATGTTTTGAGTGTATAAAGCATTATTACATTCCTAGCCACAAAATACTTTAAGAGTCACGATAAAAAAAGCATACGTTGAAAGTGACATAGCAATACCACTTTAATAAAATGGGGTATTTTGGGGAGATACAAGATGTGCTCTGCTAATTTTAACTCCATCTTTACTTCATTATAATTTTGTTTTATTGCCAGAAAAGTCACCAGCAGAGCAAAGAATGCTGCACTGGTTAGAACCACAACAGCCAGAGTTGTTCTTCATAGCTCCTTTACTGCAATTAATTTACTTTTAACTTGATAGTAGGAGGACATAATACTCATCGTTCAGAAATAAATTACTAATTTTGAGCAATAGTTTAAACCTGATTAGCACTGCATAATGATGAATGGCTACTTCTAAAAAAGTAAAAACCTTACATACCAAAAACATGCTATATGTTGGGAAACCACTTTTCCATGCTCCAGCGTGGTGTTTACATTTTTCACCTGTCAAAGTCTTTCTTTTATCTGTTTAAGAATCCACAGCACTTAAAATGTCAAGTATTTGAACTGAACGTGATTCAATTTCAAAAAGTGCCAAATTAAAAAAAAAAAACCCCTACACATGTAGCCAAGCTTTCATAGAAATCCCCAAACAAGATAAAAAACAGCCTCTCGAAATAATGGGTTACTAGCTTCATACATGGTTTTAAAGCTGTATAATGTTCACCTAAACACTCCACTTACGAGCATTATAAGTTTAAAAACACAGAACACCTTCAATGCAAATCGCTTGCAGAGGGCACCCTCAAACATATGAATACAACACTAAGCAGAAACCCCTCATTTTATTTGGCTATTTAGACATCCATGTCACATATACCCACCCATCCATTTCCTGATAGTATTACATCATCTATTAGGGCTTCTGAAATAATGCAGAGCCATAAAACTCAGAAGAGACTAGTAAAAAAAAAAGTTCCATAACTGCACAGCCTTCCACACAGCAAGGTTGCGCAACTGATTGTTTAACGTAACTAAGCTTAACGGCGTCCAAACAAGCAGGCCTGGGTTTGGAAGCTGTCTTATGTCAAATTTTGACCATGTAACTACCCTAAAACAGAAAGGTCAAAAATGGAACTCATCTCTTCTTTTTCTGCTGCCTCAACATTTTCCTTCGCTTAATTATCATATCATGTAGCTTCTCCAGTCCCTCTTTGAGTCCGTCTCCAATGATTGCACAGGTAGGCTGCAAATGCCAGGGAGTCGAAGAACTCAGCTCACTCATTGCTAACATCTTCTCAATTTCAGAAAGGGAGAGAGAGTTCCTCAAGTCCTGCTTGTTCGCAATGATAAGGACAGGCACTCCTTGATTTTCAGATATCCTCGTAATTTTATGAAGTTCTGTTTTGGCCTCCTCCATTCTCTCAACATCAACGGAGTCCACCACAAACACAATGCCATCGGTGCACCTTGTGTATGACTTCCACAGCGGCCTCAGCTTCTCCTGGCCGCCCACATCCCAGAAGTGGAAAGTGACCGTTTTCGAGTTGCCCAGCGTCACTTTGATTTTCTCCGTATTAAATCCTTTAGTGGGGACGGTGTTGACGAACTCATTGAACTGCAGTCTGTACAGCACGGTCGTCTTTCCAGCGGAGTCCAGTCCCAAGATGACGATGTGGAAGCTCTGGAAAGAAGGCAGGCTGGAGAGGATCGGCGTCTGGTCCGAGAGTCCATTCCCCATTGCCAGCAGGGAAGGTGACAGCAGGCTGCCACGAGCAGAGGCCGGCTCCCCCGGGTGACGCCCGCGCCC